TATCTATCTCTATCTATGTATATCTATCTATCTATCTATCTATCTATCTATCTATCTATCTATCTATCATCATCATCTATCTATCTATCATCTATCTATCTATCATCTATCTATTATCTACTATCAATCTATCTGATGTAATGTATGAAATTGGGTGGTTGTAAGGGGAGTACACATACGGGAATTCATCTAAAGAAAATAAAAATATATTTCTTGAGAAATGCCAAAATTAAAATTAAAAAATAAAAAATAAATTAATAATATGATAAAAAGCAAGAAAAGAAAAACAAAACAAAGAACCTTCTCACCAACAAAAAGTTCATTAGATAAAATAATTAAACAGAGAAATTCAGGAGTTAAATAACATAAGCCAAATGGACCCAGCAGATAAACACAGACTATTCCAGCAAAACACTAAAGAAAACACATTAATCTCAGCAGGCCATTAAACTTTCTCCAAAACTGACTATATATTAGAACAGAAAATATGTCTCAAAATATATAGTAAAATTGAAATGACATTCTGTCAGACCACAGTGATATTAACAGCACAAATTCCTGGAAACCAAACAAGGTGCTATGGAATGAAAATTAGGGGAAGGAACACTAAAGAATGGCTTAACAGTACAACACAAGACCTTTGAGAAGTCAAGAACAAACCAAACCCAATCCTAAGAGATGAGAAAGAATAACAAAAATCCATGCACATCTGGTTAGACACAGAGAACATGCCCAGTACTAGGTGACACATCTGCAATTGAACCTTTACAACTAAGGCTCGTGGAACACAGTGGAATAAGGGGTAGAGAGAGGGCTAATGCATCCCTCAACTCTTACCACAGAGGCTTCCTTGTACAGCAGAGTGCAATGCACACAGAAGGCCAAAACTGGCCGAGTTTTGGAGAATAAGAGACTGTAGAGTGAAAGATGGGACTCCTATATGGAACCTCATCCATCCACCCATGGCTCAGGACCATTGTGGAAGAGGAGGCAGAAAGATTGTAAAAGCCAGGGCTAGTTTATTAACACAGGGAGCTGGAGGCTTCCAATCCACTGTAGGCTTGCTCATGTGAGCCTGTGACAGTGGTGGCATCGAGTACGGGTCCACATCAGCTCAAACAAGGGCCCGAAGGGGAGGTGAGGAATAGGTGGTGGGCTGGCACTAGACTGAGAACTATTTGAGACTGATTGATGCTGGATGAGGAAGAGTATGACTTACATAGGGCTGCTGGATGTGCTGACTAGACTTCAGTGGTTACATTTACACTGAAGTACATTTGGGTATAAACTACTGAATTAATAGAATGTAGCATGTATGGCAGAGTTCATGGGGTTTGGTGGGAGTATGGGGAGGTATGAATGGGGAGGTGGGGTCTGGATTTGATTGGGAAATCTTATATGAAATTTAAAAAGCTCAATAAAAAACAATTCAACATCCTTGGCTATCAATGAAATGCAAATCAAAACTACTTACACAAGTCATAATGGCTAAGAAAAAAGTAACAATTGATGATAAATGCTGTCATGGATGTGGAGAAAAAAGAATACTTATTCACTGCTGGTGGGAGGGCAAACTGGTACAGCCATTAGGGAAATCAGTGTGGAAGTTCATCAAAATCCTAGAAATAGACTTACCTCATGGCCAGCTATACTACTCTTGGGCATATATCCAAAGACCTTCATAACCTACTGCAGAGATATCTGCTTATCCATGTTCATTCACCATAGCCTGGAATAGAAAAAGCCTAGATGTTCATCACTTGATGAATGCATAATGAAAATGTGGTACATTTACTCAGTGGGATATTCTTCAACTGCTAAACTGCTTAAAATTGAAATTATGTGAGGGCGGAGAGATGGCTGCCCTAGCAGAGGACCTGGACTCAACTGTTAGCCCTCACATTGCAGCTAACAGGCCTCTGTCCCTTCAGTTCCAGGGAATCTTATGTCCTCTATGGGCATTGAACATGTGGGTGCTCTTACATACATTCAGGCCAAACACTCATGTAGAGACCATCAATAAATCTGTTCCTGGGGACATTTCTACACATATACATATTGTCTTTCACTCATGCCATGTTGCTTCTGTTCTCACCTCTCTCCCTATGCTTTCCCAGAAGTTCGTTCTCTATTTTCATATTTTCCTCTTTTCTCCTCTCCTGTTCCCTTCTCTTCCTTTCTTTTTTTCTTTTCACTCCTTCCTTCCCCATCCAACAATGAACATGAGTTTCCTGATGGACAGGACAAGGTATTATATGCTGGAGAGTGAGGGGAGGAAAGCAGAAGGGTAAAATGTAGAAGACAGGACACATTCAAGATAAATTTAATTAGAAAAATTTGGAGAATCTCCTTTATGATATAATAATCATATTGAGATTTAGATCCATTGTTTCAAGTTTGAAGAAAATATTGCTGAATTCATCATAACATAATTAACTCATCACTATTAACTTCTAGATGGACTATAATTAAGTCTTTGGAGATTGAGGCAGATATTCCTATATTGCTTTGTGAGAATATTCTCAAAGGCCTGTTGAGGAACTATCTATATTGAGTCCAACAGAGACATGTCAAATGCTAGAAAACGAGGGAAAGGGCACCCCTTCCAGGAACTGGCCTTTCTGACCTAAGGTAAGTATCATTGTCTAGGAAAGCACTTTAGTTACTATATAGCTTCCATTGTAATAAGAGCACAGAATCTGTTCTAGCTCTAAATGAATCATTGGTATATTAAATACATACATACATACATACATACATACATACATGCACAGACACACAGACACAAAGACACACACAGAGATACACAAAACATGAGAGAGAGGGAGCAAGGGAGAGAGAGGGAGGGAGAGAGAGTGAGAGATTGACTTCCTTTTCAATCAGACTCTGTTTGATGAAATATCTGGTCTTCATTTTAAAAATTAGGCACATTCACTTTTCCCCAATAACTGTTCAATGTATTTTGTGGAATACCTCTTTTGTTTATTCTCAGAGATTTCTTGTGCTTTTCTTGTGAAAGTTTGATGTCTTAACCTTGGAAATTGGACTATTTTTCATGTTGAACTCTATAGAACAAAAAAAAAAAATGCCCCAATCATGTATATATTCCCACATCATTACCTAAAGGGAAATTCGAAAAGCAGTTTAAAGATAAATGCTTTTAAAACTTCTAGTAATTAAAGAAGTTAATGCTGTTAGTCAGCTCTAGCATGTTCTCAATGAGGAGGAAAAGGGAGAAAACAGTTGCTTCCAAAAGTGGTAAATGGCTTAATGGTTGAAGATATATACTTTCAATTAATGACACTGTGAGTTACTTTATGAGCTGTGCTGTACAACAAATCTGTGATCTTGTACATTCTACTAAATCCTGGGTTTCACTTTCATCAACTTATGCCAGAGGACAATCATGTCATCTTATAGAATTGACAGGAGTATTACAAAGTTCGGGGACAGGACACAGGACACATAGTAAGAAAATTTTATCTATTTAGACTTATATTATTAGAAGGAATACCGTATGTTGATATTCAGAAAAGTATCTTCATAATGCCTGACATTATGGTTTCATTAGTTTATCAAAGGCTGTTCTAAGTTTTTTTGTAAACAAACTCAGTACCAAACATGTTGAGTGTTTCCGTGTAAATATTCATGTAAATACTCTTTAACCAGTCTGATAGCCTGACAAGAAACTGTGAGTAATCTTCACGAGCTTTCTTTGTTTCAAATTTGATAAGGGACTGACTCTAAATGAGGCAGTTAATAAATGGAAGCTCTAAAAGGTCTAAATCAGGGCTCACACTAGGATTCCAATTCCAGGATTTTTTAACAGTCTCTTCCTGAAATCCCATAATTCATATGCTATTCCTGCTATTATTTTAAAGAATAAAAGGTCTAGAATCTTTCTATCATTGCTGATTTGATGAGCAACTCGCTGATTTCCATTAATATAAAATATCTCTAACCTATGTTTCCTCTCAACATATTAATCAGGCTTTCCCCTTTGAGGACATGGAAGTTCATAATCTTACCATCCTGACTGAATTCATCTTGCTTGGCTTCTCAGCAGACCCTCAGTGGCAGCTGATTCTATTTGGAATGTTTTTAGCAATTTACCTAGTGACCTTGTCAGGGAACATGACCTTAGTCATCTTAATCCGTATTGATTCCAGACTGCACACACCTATGTACTTTTTCATTGGTGCTCTGTCATCCTTGGATTTTTGGTATACTTCTGTGTATATACCTAAAATTTTGGTCACCTGTGTCTCAGAAGACAAACGCATTTCCTTGGCTGGATGTGGAGCTCAGTTTTTCTTCTCCTGCGTTGCAGCCTACACTGAGTGCTACCTGTTGGCAGCCATGGCCTATGACCGCCATGCTGCAATTTGTAACCCACTGCTTTATTCAGGTATCATGTCCACTTCTCTCTGTACTGGACTTGTGGCTGGCTCCTACATAGGAGGGTTGTTGAATGCCATAGCCCATACTGCCAACACCTTTAGGCTGAGCTTCTGTGGTGAAAATATCATAGACCATTTTATTTGTGATGTGCTGCCTTTAGTAAAAATGTCATGTACAGACACCCATGTCTATGTGATTATACTCTCCAGTGTGGTTGGCTTCACTGTGCTGTCCTGCCTTCTGGCCATTCTCATTTCCTATTTCAACATCCTCTTGGCTATTCTGAGGATCCGCTCAGCCTCAGGAAGGCGCAAGGCATTCTCTACCTGCGTCTCCCACCTGTTCTCAGTTACACTCTTCTATGGGTCCTTGCTCTTCATGTATTCAAGGCCTAGTTCTAACTATTCCCTGAAGAGAGACAAACTGGCTGCCCTGTTCTACACCATCGTCAACCCACTACTCAACCCTTTCATCTATAGCTTGAGAAACAAAGATGTCAAAGAGGCCTTCAAGAAGGTGATACAGACCTTCAGACAAGAAGGATGAAGGTTATCTTTAATGCGTTATGACTGTTTAAAAATTGACCTGTAGACATGTTTGTATGCATTTCTTCATTTAATTAAACACACATGACATGCTATGCTTAAAAAAAGGCTTCAGCAAACTATGCTTCAATTATTATGATTGCATGATTATGAGTTAAACTTTAAAAATCTATGTCAATGACCTTAGCAATGTAGTATTTTATCTCTGAACAATACTCTATTTTTATGGCATGCCTCTTCATGGCTTTTATTTTATTAGGGAAGAAAATAATTTCATGGTTTTCTTTAACTTAGTGTGACTTTGAAGTTTTTGAATGAATTGCGTTTGATATGGAATTGATATGAAATCACTAGACTGTTAGAAATTTGTTCAAGATTTGCACATTTTAAAGAAAATTTTGTATTTATTATTTATACTTTATGTGTTATCAGTGTATTGTTTGCATGTGTGTAAGTGCACCTGTGTTTTGTAATGCCCGTGGAGGTCAGAAGAAGGCATTAGATCCCCTGTAATTGGAGTTACAGAAGGTTGTTAGCTACCGTGTGGGTGCTGGGACTTGAACCTGGGTCCTCTACAAGAACAGTAAGTGCTCTTAATCACTGAGCCATCTCTCCAGCCAGAGATTTCATAAATTTTTATTCTGAACACAATGTCTCTTGAATTTCTTCTTAAAGGGATAATTGAACATAAAATGTACTCATGTAAATCTGCTTTCTGTTCTAGCATATTAATAGGAAAATGAATACACATTGAATTTCTTCTTATAGGGATAATTGAACATAAAATGTACTCATGTAAATCTGCTTTCTGTTCTAGCATATTAATAGGCAAATGAGATGAATTTAAAAGGTATTTAAATTTAAACAAAAATGAAATAGGCTAAATAAAAGATCGAAGTTGTATTTTTAAGGTTATAAACTATTAAAATAAAAAGTGTATTGTGTGTATTCTCAATGAGTACTTTATATAAACCCCATTGGACTAAAATAACAACATTGAAGGATTAAGATCAAAGAAATAAAATAACAAACAAATATACCTAACTATATTCTAGACCCCATGATTGCATTGATTATTTTATTTCTTCAGCTATTTTATGTAGAGACTACAACTCAAATTTTATTACATTTTTGGACATTAAGTATATTGCTGCAATTTAGTAGATATTTTCATTCAATAATCTTTATAATATTGTAGTTTTTCATATATCATTTATTTTAATTTACCTATGAAGATTTCTTGTGGTTTTCAAAAGCATGGAATTTCTTTTTAATGTTTTTTTTTTAAAATTATTTTTATTTTATGTGTATGAGTGTATTGCTTGCTTGTGTGTAAGTGCACCCATGTCCTGCAATGCCCGCGGAGATCAGAAGGGGTCAGATCCCATGGAACTGGGGCTACAGACAGTTGTTAGCTATCATATGGTGCTGAGAATTGAACGCAGGTCCTCTGTAAGAGCAGTCAGTGTTCTTAACTGCTGAGCCGTCTCTCCAGCCCCAAGCATCAAGCATAGAATTTCTTAGTGAAAATTCACAATTAAGAAAGGTCAAGTGTATGTATAATAAACAACATGTACCATTGTAATTTAAGGATTAACAATCATATATGAAGTGTGAAAATCTTGCCACTCAAGGGTTAGATCTTCATTATGGGAAAAACATTGAAATTTTGGAAATGAGTACATTACATTATGCATTTATTTCAATTGTTATCTTAGTAGTATTACATGACCTACAACTTTTAGTAGGATCGAATTCTGAAGATATATTGATACCTGTATCTATATGTATATCTGTTACAGTAAAAATGCAATATTACATAGTTCAGATTATGGTCTAATCTAGCAAAACAAATGAACACAAAGAAATAAAAATCTTTATTATTTTTAACCTTTTTTCTAATTCAAGGGGTAGAAATGAGTATAATTTCTTCAATTAATATAAATCAAGTA